GTTCAAAGGAGAATTATAGAGGAAGACGTATTACAGTATAAGGTGGTCAGAAAAGGCCTCTTGGAGGTGATTTCACTAAAGCTGAAACCTACAGAGAAGAACAGAAACTGTGTGTTGGGGGTGAGGAGGTGAAGGTGAGGGAGCAGGAGGAGAATCTGGAAAAGGCTGTGAGGCCAAAACGGTCTTGGCGTCTTCAAAGCACCTAAAGAGGACCATGTGGCTGAATGATGGGGGAACGTGGTGGGAGATGAGGTTAGACAGGGAGGTAAACAACAGAATCATACAAGGGCTTTTTAGGCCATGATAAAAATTTGTGCTTTCTCCTTAGGGCAGTGGAAATCACTGATGTTTTTAAAAGGGGCATGACATTATCTGTTTAGTATTGGCTGCCATGTGCAGAATGGGTGTGCCAAGGGCAAAAATGGATACAGGCAGGAAAAAGGACGTTATTGTGAGAGGCACCTGAGAGATGATGGCGTGTAGCCGGGTGGGGAGTGGCGAAGGTGATGAGAACTCGCAGGATGGAGACAGATTTTTATGGTAGAAGCAATGCTATTTAGTGGAAGAAGGATGGGGAGGGGTGAGAAATTAGATTATTAAACAACCCCCGGTTTTTAGTAGGGGCAACTCAGTGAACAAAGTTCATTCCTTTCTGCTGTGTGCTTCTCTTGGCCTATTGAGCATAGGTACAAACATGCAAGAATCTTACCAGAAGCTCAAAGAAAAACCAGGCGTACTTGAAGACTGTTTCTCTCACCATTCCAGTGCTGACTACCATCTGGAGGGCAAGCTCCTCATGGAAATGCTAAATAAGAACCACAAAAATTAGGCTGTGATGACAAAGGCTGCTATTCACCAACACTTTTTTCTTCTCTTTTCTTTTCCCCAGGTTAATAACTTGTTAGTTTCTGAGGCACGTGTCTTGGATGTTCTAGGCCATGAAGTCGTGGATGGCAAAGTCAGTGCTGAGATCACGTGAGACTGCGGGACACTGAGGTGGGTAGAAGGCTGAGTTCTACCTCCTTAGACTAAGTGCTGCCCACTTAGTCTCAAACTCCTGAGCTGCGCAGGAGAGATGTGTTTGAAGGAATGGACTCAGCCTGGGAGTGAAACCGTTCTATGGCGGAAGCATTCCGAGTAGTCATCAAAACTGGTATTGTCTCACTTTCTCTCAGGTCCTGTTGAAAGCTCTGTGTGACCACGTGCAAGCCATTCCTCTCTCTGCCCTCGGTTTTCTCAGCCGTAAAAACAGCTGGCTGGTAGCAGCAGTTCTCAAATCTTTTGAGACAGGGTAGCACTCTGTCACCCAGGCTAGAGTGCAATGACGTAATCCCGCTCACTGTGACTTCCCTGGCTCAAGCAATCCTCCCACCTCAGCCTCCTGAGTAGCGGGGACTATAGGCATGTGCCATCAAGCCCAGCTATTTTTTTTTTTTCACAGAGATGGGGTTTTGCCATGCTGCCCACTTAGTCTCAAACTCCTGAGCTCAAGCAATCTGCCCACCTTGGCCTCCCAGAGTGCTGGGATTGTGGGGGTGAGCCACTGTGCCGGGCCTCTCAAACTTGAATGTGCATCAGAATCCCCTGGATGGCCTGATGAAACACAGACTGCTGGGCCCCACCCCCAGAGATTCGGATTCAATGCCTGGGAATTTGCATTTCTAACAAGGTCCCATTCTCAGGTGCTGCTGCTGCTGGCCGTCGAGGGTCACACTTGGAAGACCACTGTCTAGACGGTATCTAAACTCCCTTGGAGACTGGACAATTTTTGTTTTTATAATACCACTATGGCATTGTGGGAAGCAGGATCAGTGGGGTTTGTGAGTGGATCTTGTGCTCTGAAAGGCATAGTGGTATCAGCCTTAACTCACAACTTCTAAATTTCGATGACCCAGGGTCAGATGCTTGAAAAGTCCCCCAGCTCCACTTTGTGTCTTCACTTCCCTTCAAGTCATCTACGGCTTGGTAGCAAATGGAGGCACATGGTGACTTACACCTTTCCCATTCTCCAGCACATCGAGCTATGTGTTCATGTTCCTGACAATCATTTTAGTGGGGAAGAAGTTTAAGACTAAAGGTAGGGCAACCAGTCCATTACAGTTTGCCTAATAATGTCCTGGTCTTAAAATAGAAAGTCGTACATCTTGGGGACTCCCTCGGTCCTAGGCAAATCAGAACAGTTGGTTGGTCACCCTAATTAATGCCAAAAATGATGTCTAAAAATTTTCTGTGGTTTTCATTCATCTTAGGCCCACAAAACCTAGAATAAACATTGATAAACTCATTTTTTATCTGGGTAAGAAAGTGAATAAGAAAGCTAAAACTATTTGAACACCCTAATATCATATCCTTATTTGCAAATTAACTTTTAAAGTCAACGCCTAAAGCAAAACCTGATTACAGCAAACATTGCTCTTGACAATCATTTATATTACCCACAGAGGGCTGGGTGTGTTGACTCATGCCTGTAATCCCAGCACTTTGGGAAGCTGAGGAGGGCAGATTACATGAGGTCAGGAGTTTGAGCCTAGCCTGGCCAACATGGTGAAACTCCATCTCTACTAAAAATACAAAAATAAGTCGAGCGTGGTGGTGCATGCTTGTGATCTCATCTACTCTGGAGGCTGAGGCAGGAGAATCGCTTAAACCCAGGATGCAGGGATTGCAGTGAGCTGAGATTGCACCACGGCACTCCAGCCTGGGCGACACAGTGAGTGAGAGATTCCATCTCAAAAAAAAAAAAAAAAAAAAAAAAAAAAACAAAATTACCCTCAGAATACAGTATGCACGCAACTCAGTGTACTAATTCTTATGCACATTAAAATTTGAGAGCTACTTAGCTAAACTAAAAGGTGACAAAGGGAAGGTCTCTGTATACATGCTTGGGTATTTTAGCTAGTTAGATCCCCCGTGGGTTAGTGGTGATGAATGGAGAATGCTTAGTGTTTCGGCTTATCAGGTGGTTGGTTTCACTTCATTTTGTGAGGTCGAACCTAAATAATTTTAATACACGTTAATACATTTGTTTGCTGTCGGCACTCTTAAGTGAAGCGCTCTCACTTGAGAGAGGTGTGGGGTTGAGTTTTAATCTAGCAGGTGGTCTAACTGTGCACATGATATAACTGGGCTACACCTTGATCTTCTCATTGTAGGAAAGACATGCAACCCTAGATTCAAAGGTAGCCTCTAGAAAATAGGTCAGTTTGGCTGCCAGAGCCTTATGACAGAAGAGATTAGACAAGGATAAGCTGCTTCTTAAAGTCATTTATGCTGCTTTCTGGGGAGCATTATTACACGAACACCTTGCTCCGAGGTTATCTAAAATAGCCAAGCAGCAAAACCCTGTTTGCTCAGCTATAAAGGAAACATATTGGCCAAACTTCCCTTTGAAATAAAATGTCCCTATTCTGGGCATTTCAGGTCAAAGCATGGCAACTGCAAAACCAAACAGGACATGGGTTAAAGAAGTCAGGCTGTAGGCCAATAATGGTTTTTAAGAAAGGAAAATGGTAAAATACTTATAACCAGTTACTGCATAGGGCCTGTGACAGCCTAATGCTAAATTTTAGAGAAAGTGGACACCTTTGTTCTTAGCCTAACCATATCTTCTTTCACTTTTCCATTTATAGTTAAATCCTGCTACCTCTCACTAGACATATGGTGCCCGGATTACTGCAGAGTGTGGAGCACCAAGCCCTGGCCCTCCCACACTTGATCTTTCCCTCATCCCGTCCAAAGGGAGCCTTAGGGACGCTCATTCCCTCCTTGCCTGTATAGTAGTACTTCCCTATAATGTTAGCTCTTGCAAATGGTTTCCTGTGTTATTCTTTGCAATTAGCATATTTACATTTTTTTTTCTTTTTTTGAGATGGAGTCTCATTCTGTCACCCAGGCTGGAATGCAGTGGCATGATCTCAGCTCACTGCAGCTTCTGCCTCCCATGTTCAAGTGATTCTCCTGCTTTAGTGTCCTGAGTAGCTGGGATTACAGGTGCCTGCCACCACACCCGGCTAATTTTTGTATCTTTAGTAGAGATGGGGTTTCACCATGTTAGCCAGGCTTATCTTGAACTCCTGACCTCAGGTGATTCACTGGCCTAGGCCTCCCGAAGTGCTGGGATTACAGGTATGAGCCACCATGCCCCGCCATATTTACATTTTAATACAGGTCTTCAAAGACACTAAAAACTTAAGTAGCTACTATAATGGTGAGGCTCTTGGGTGCTTAGAACAGAGGCAACTTTGGACACACAGCTTCCCCCCCGCCCCCGCCCCTACCCATGGCTCAGACCACACAGGCTGTGACTATGATTGGGGAATTTTGTTGGCTTGAAAAATCCTGGTAAGCAGTTTAAGAGCTTTTAAAGTTTCTGAACTAATAGGTAAGGCTGATTGTGGAGAATTATGAGGAAGCATTTCATATTACTTTACATAGTATTCAAACAAATGATACCTAATTATTGCCATTCACTTTTGTCAAGGATGAATTGACCCAGCTTTCCCTCTACTAAAAGGAGGCTAATGCAGTGGTTTTCAGAGTATGGTCCCTGGACCAGCATCAGCTGAGAGCTTGTTAGAAATGCAAATTCTTGAGCCTCCAGCTCAGATCTATTGAATCAGAAACTCAGTGGGTAGGGTCCAGCATTAAGTTTTAACAAGGCTTCTAGGTAATTCTGATGCATGGGAAAAGTGGGAGAAACACTGAGTTAATGGGCAGTTAGGTGGTCAAATGCAGGGTAAAGGATGGGGCTGCAAAAGTGTGTGTGGGGTGTGTGTGTGTGTGTGTGTGTGTGTGTTAGCATGGCAGGAACAGGCAGGGGAGTACTTTGAGTATTTTCAAGCACAGTGTGAGGGCATGAGGAAATCCTTATATATATATATATATATAT